GGGTGATAACCGACCTTCAAGGCAATGTACAGTTCAGTCTCCAGTCGCTAGTAGGTTCAATCATGTTTTGAAAAGTTGAGAAATATACTCGACCAAGTGGAAAAGGAAACGTTCACCTAACTGCATAGTCTAACATAATGAGTAATGGTCAAATCTTCCAAGATGGTATTACAACTCTACCACCACGACTCTCATTCATCGGAGGGTAAAATGTCTTCAGAGAAGGAGGTAGCTGATCAAGTATGAAGGTAGAGAGTTTTAAGTATAAGCGGGTTACTGATCATTACCGCTGACAACGTACAGACTGCAAATAACTTCTAGGGGAAGCGAAGCTGCAACAGACATTTTACGACTCAACGAAGTTAGACGAGAGAAGGAGACCGTTAGAGCTTAACAGTGGAAGATCAGAAAACAGAAGAATAGAGAGAGCATGGTTAACCATCCACAGAATATTAAAGAACAGTGTAGTACAAGTGGACAGAATTTCAGACAACTATGCAAGACTGGTTCTGAAAGTTTCAAAAAGATACGAAGTCCATGTGAATCAAGTATAAACACCGAGATCAAACTATTCTAAGGAAGAGATTGAAGATTTCTGCGAAGAACTAAATGAGGATCATGGAAAGAACCATTACAAGTTCATCACAGGTAATTTTAACGCCAAACTCAAACCACGCCTGAACTGCCTGTCGATCTGAATGCAAGGTCACTTGGGTGTCCTCTACATAGCTGTTGTTACCGGTAGTGTGCATACGCTCATAGTAAAATTTCTACTTATCAAACTCAGGCTCTATAACAATGTGGGTTCTCAAAATGTTAAACTGACTTATCTAATCAAACCGAAAATACTAATGGTAAAAACTAAGACAAACAATTACTAGATATGACTCTGCAGGTTATAGACATGATCAGATTCGTCAGAATTGAAATCTTTTAAAAAAGTGGATTAAACTTTTAAAGGTACACTTATGGCTCTGACCACTACTCGAAAAATGTGAATCTGATCACAAGGTGATTTTCAAGTACTAGACAACCGTTATATAACACAAATGGCCGAATCTTCCCACTGACAGCTTCAAATGCAGCTCTTACTTTAGAAACGAAAATAGCGTTCACTTTCGGGTTGTACTGAAAATTCTGCAGTATCTGCATGCGTTCATTCTGCGAAGTGTCGCCATATAAAAACGGAATGCCGAACTTAATGGCGTATTTTTTCAATGCAAACACGTTGTCCGAAAATACGATTATCTATTAAAAAAAGATCTACAAAAAAAGAACAAAAAGCAAATCAGTTCTTGCACACCTTGTCATTTCTTTGCTGATGGTACTTGATCAGAAATTCACAGACTCGAAACTTATTTGGATTCATAACTGACAGCAGCAGTTTTCTGCCTATCTTCGCATCCAAATAGTAGTAATAAAACTCGGCAGTCATTGGACACCACACCTAAAATACTATCCTGCTAAATACATGTAAACCAACAATTGATTTACAGATGAAAAATTCTTAAATTTCAAAATGAATTATTAAAGTAAATGATTCAATTAGCAAAATGATAATAATTAAAAGTGTTTCCTCGTTCGTGAAACTCCGAAACACGTTGTCATCTCCCCCATAAATAACTCGCGTACCATTTAAACCACAATTTAACACATATGGGTAAACATGCAAAAACCATGGAGTACGGATAAAAGAACATTGCGATGACATTGAGGGGAACCATCCACAACATTTCGGATCGAAGCGTATTTCTTAGAATCCAAAAACAATTTCAAGAAGATGGCATCCATCACTTGAAAAGGACAGGCATAGATTTATTATTACAGAATATATTGCATAACATTTCTGATTCTAGGCCTGTTGCTAAAACAACAAATAGTTGATGGCACCGAACAATGCAGATGCTAACCATTAAAAAGTCGAGTCGGGTCTAAATGACCCAAGTGATATTCTTATTAACTAAATTTAATACATAAAGAATCAGTGGAAGAACGAGGGTCCAATAGCTTCTTCACTACTGGCTTCTTTTCAGTTATGCTTGTCGAAATGATATGCACTCTAACAAAATAACAGGTTCTGACCCGACGAGAGCATGGGTGTCGTAAAATTTTTTTTCATAAATCAGTATTTTAACTGTTCCTCTATATTGTGGCGACATATCTGAGAAAAAGCCTATTTTAAAATTTACTGTAAGAATGCTTGTGAATATTGCGAGGCAAATATGTAAAATATATCTAGAACTGTTACATTTTGTTCCTAACTTGCCTTTTAAAAAACTGAAGTGCCTTAATGAAACCCGCTGAAAAGAAAAAAACCAAAGAAAAAAAAAACTTAATATGCTTAATTGTCAATATCACCCAACAAGAGTGGTTATATAACATTTTGTTAGGCGACTGCTTAAGGGTTAATACTTTATTGTCATACGCACCGTAGCATCATCAGGGCATCACCGATCTGCAGGCAGTTAATCACCTAATATACAAAGTAGTGCATCTCAATTTAAAGTGAGTGACAGATTGACACTAGATTTCAGGCAGCATGTTCGTACCTTTAAATTGTAAATTTTGATCTTAACCACTTATTGCGCCATTCCAGACTTTCTTATGAAGTGAGTTTCTTAGTTTCTTTCACTACCCAAACATTTTTTTTATCACAACAGAGGAAAAGAACTCATTGCCATGTTTTATCTCCAGTGAACTTAAAAGATCCTAGTCATACTCAAGCCACAGTACAGAAGATCACCAAAATATGTAGACTGCTATATCAAAATACTAAGCCTTCTAAGAAGATTAACGGCACATTCGTCTGACTGAAGAGTGCTAGTGAGAAAGGGCATGTCGCACAGAACCGACGTAATCAGTCTGATCAAAACGAACTGCAGACCGGTGCTTCATTTAATCCGTATATTCAGTTTCTTGGAGGTCTTTTCAACGAATATCTTACCGCAGTCGCTGTAAACCGCATTCACTGCATCTTCCGCGATGCTCCAGGTACATCTCTTGAACAGAAACATTCCTGAACTTATGCCGGTCTTGTAGTAGACCATAAACCCCGTTTCGTCGAAGTACCGATTGGTTCAAATAACTAGAGAATGCATGGCAAAATTACTATAGGTGTATTCTGTTACGGCTTCACCTAACTGTAACTACGGTTCAGTAGTTCAATGACCAGAAACCTCCGTGAATATCCATTCTTGAGGAATATATGGCAAACGTGCTGAATTTCAGCGCCTAAAACGGAAGCAGTATGTTTCTGCAAAGAACGGATGAGGCACAAGACCTTGGTTGTAAATATCTGAGTGATCAGTTTGTGATAAACGAAACGTAAAATTCAAGCGATTACATCTCTTTAGAAGCACGTCGAAAAATAGTATGTGATTCACCCAACCCTCGGTAATAAACCATATCTCACCAATAATCTCCTGTCCGTTCATATAATTTGTGAAACTTTTCTGCTGTTCTAGCATGTTATTCCCTTTTTGGAATAAAACGAAGACGTAATCCACAAATCTTGCATAATACAACGGCCGGAATTCTGCGTGGCATTTCTTCAGAGCTTTCACCTCCAGGTAATCCTGATAGAAATCAAACAAGACAAAATTCTCACTGGAAAGCCCACAGGAAAGCCACGTCTTTTGGTGAAAGATGCTGCTTATAAATTCGAACTTTGTGCATGCTGTCACAAGCGGAAGACTATCATAAGATCTTCAAGCTTTCAGTCGCTTATATACACACCCGACAGTTCCTCCAAACTTAAATGAAATTTGAGGCACGTGAAAACTATACCAATTTTACTTAAACCTGTTCTGCCAGGAAGTCATTAAACTGAACCGTTTTCTACCATCCTTCGCTTGCCTAGTTTTTACCATTCACAGTCATCTACTTCCACTTAACTTTTCACTAGCAAATTTTCATTTCTGTGGTACGCTTCCCATTCTTCCTTTATACCTGTCGTTGTTTCTATTTTTTTGTACTTTATTATTTCAATTTTTACTGTACGGCTTCTGCGTTGGAAACCAAAACATCATAAAAAGTTCAAAGTTTGCATCGATGTTATTATTTTGAAGAGAAAGGCAACTTAAATTTAGAAAAAAACATACAACACAAATGCAATTATAAACTTCTTTTATAGGACCGATCACAGGGGGTGTATATTTTGTAAAAAAAAAACTTGGAAATCTCATTTTCATTGATAACGTTTAAATGCATCGGTGACGGTTGAATTAAATCGCACAAAGACATAAATAAACGTAAACAATCAACCACTATCACCAAATTTAATTAAAGTAAATAAATTTGCCATTAATTTTTAGTCAATTAATACGGAAAGGAGTTCACAGTCAACTACTTCTTTGAAGAAATTGCCAATCTGCACTGTCCAGATTTTTAGCTGAAACTAGCATGGATATAGAAATGTCTTATGCTTCAGCGGCTGGTGATGACTGATAATGCAATCAATTAAAGACAGTGTTTTAGCCCCCTCACCTCTGCGCACTGAACACGGGCGATGTAGCCGGCTTTCTGCAATTCCATCCAATTCGCTTCGTACAACTTTGGCCCAATCAGAAAGTTAAGGTCGGTGATCTTGTCGTCCTCTCGAACAAGTGTCGCCGTCAAACCCAGTTTGCAATGCGAATGCACGATCGTCAATACGCGGCGAAACATCCTGGCCGGAATCGTGTGCACCTCTGAAAGATAAACTGCTAAAAGTTCACGTCCATGCTCGACTCATAACTCAAATTTGCGTCTTGCATATAAGTCAATTAATATTAATTAATATAATTTAGTCATTCACCCAAAAAAGCAAAATTGCACGAATCTGATATTTATTACCAGGAAGCACATCATTTTTGGAAAAAAAGAAGAATTCAGTCACCTCTTCCACAATCCATTATTATTTGCCAAAAATATTCTCTCCTAGCAAAGCTCAGAAGGTTTCTGTTCAATAAACGAAAATATCAGACCGAACTTGCAAACAGCTGAATAATTATGATTCAACGTTGGAGTTGAAGATCCGCTACACATCTCTACTC